CCACTCATGGTCACATTGATGACCAAGTGGAGTTTTAGGAAGAGATTTTTTTCTAAGTTAGACTGGTATGAATTGTAGGGTTTATTGATTTCCTTTGTTGGGTGGGCACAGTCCTTTTCTCAGGTTAGCCAGAGCATATGCTAAGCAACTATTTCCCCACTGTGTTGGTAGCAAGTATAGGCAGTGCACTTTTCACCCCTGTGTTTTGTCTATAACATTTGATAGGGCAGTTTTGGTATTTCAAGCTTTTTTTCCTTACAGTTTTATAGGTGATAGTTTGAAGCTGCAATTTTGGGGATCACTTTGATAGTGAGCACTTGTGAATTAGGAGGACTACACTCAGTGGCTCAGAAGGTCCCTTCTATTCCTATGTTCCTAACCTAGTATTTAAAACTAAAGCAATTTGTTAATTCCACCATGTCACTTACCTGATACTTCTCACAGCTTGAGAAATGAGAAAACAAGTGCAAAGTTCTTTCAATCCTCACAGAGGCCAAAACAAAAGACACGAAGGGATACCTGGATTTTGGTCTGATAGGAATTCAGGTATGGATCCATTAAAAATCTTTGCCTCCTGAATTTTTCCTGGACCATCGTGGGTACAATGTCACACCACCCATAGGAATGAAAGTCACTATGCTGATAATTGCATATTCCTGTACTGTGAGGATGCAAGGAAACACGATGTGTAAAAGGTTAAGGAAGTAAAATCTGAGTTATGTTCTAATCAACAAACAGGAAATACTTGGAACTTAAAGAAAACTACAAAATCAGGAAGATGTTTTGTGCGGGAAGGGGAGGGAAGCAAGCTCAATAAGCCCTGATACCTATTTTGTCAATGGGTTTACAACATAATTCAGACTTCTGTTGGGACATAGCAGCTCGACTCCAAAAGGATGCTTGCTTGGAAAATGAGACCTAGCTTGGGAAAAATAATTATGTAGGGATGACTAAAAGCAAGAAACAGCTTTTGTATATTAAACTTCACTGAAAGTCTTAGCTATCAAGGCACTAATTCAACCTGAACAGGCCCAAAAATAAGAACTCAGTAGGAATGGGCAAGGCAGCAGTGTTTAGACCAGGTGAAATGAGGATTCTTCAAGGTAAGGTCTAACATTGTTAGTTGCTGATTTCCATTAGTTTATATAAGAGAAAACGCAAACCTGTACACATGGGGCTTAATACTAAGGCTAGCGGCTACAGCCATTGTTTTCAGACTGAATTGTAATGGGATTTTAATTGAGTAGCAGACGATCATAAATAAGGAGCAGCAATGGAGCACGAGAGGGGGATTTCAACAGATGCAGGGTCTGTGCCACTGCTGAGATCAGGATCAAATAAAGGTAAGATAAAATCCACTTACAAAATGGAAGAAATCTTTTTAAAGTCAGCAAGCTTTCTTAATGTGCTGTGACTGAAAGTACACTTTAGTTCAGAGAGAGCTGAAGAGTCAAAGAAAAAAATGCTAAAAGCCTAGTTCAGCCAAATGCGATCTGAAGCATGGTCTCAGGTAAGGTTCAAGGTGTCTTTAGCATCAATATGGAAGGCTGCACTACTTGAAAGTCTCCCTGGGTTTGTCTACACATGCACTTTAATGAGCATTAGCCTATTTTAATGTTATTAAAGCCTCAGAAAAAAATGTTTTCGCTAATGTGCATTAAAATAAGCTAATGAGCATTTTTCTAGTACCTCATAGTGGAGGGCACTTTTACCCATTCTCTGGAAATGGGGGGGAGGGTGGTGGATTTCATTATAGCAGTCTAATTAAAGTGCTGCCATGTCTCATGTACCAGTGTCTTTGAACTTAAAAATGGTGGTGGGGGCACCTGAACAGCTCATTTGACGAACTTTAGTTCAAGTGCTCCCACCTCCTTTTTTGAGCATGTGGACGCTGATACACGAGATGCAACAGGCTGCTGGAGCGCAGTAATTGCCACGCTCCAGAAGACTCAATTAATCAAGTTTCCTCCAACACACTGGAAGTCCAGTGCATCAGAGCAGCCTCCACCCTCATAGAGGTACTAGATTTAATGTGCATTACCTAAAGTGCATTAATGAACATGTAGATGCGTCCCCCTGTAACTTAAATTACACTGTGGACACTATAGCTTTCCTTATTAAACTCCTAAGGGGAAAATATGTGTCAGTGAGAAGGGAAAAAACCCTCTGATGGACAGAAAATGAAAAACAAGCAGCTGCAACCAGGAATTAGTCCATCAATCTACTTCTTAGAGACAGTCCTGGCAAAATCCATTCTCCTGGTAGATTTTGCCTGGAGTAGGCCAGATTGATTTGACAGTCTCTTAGCCTAATAAATGCTTGACCTTGAGGTTAGCTGAATTCACTATGCACAGAGAATTGGGAACCAATCACCTCTGGGGAACTTCCTGTTCTGCAGCCCTCCCTTGATAAAGGCCTTGACTGCTTTCAGCCTTATCGAGATGACTAGATGAAAGCTGCTCTCAAAAGAGGAAAGGTTAATCGACTACAGTACTGTTAATCAATCACTTGGAAAGATTCAGCACTTACTATAGGTAGGGCCCTCTTCCTGCCAAAAGGTTCTTTCATGTTAACCAGGGACCTTCCTTTCCAGCTTGAAGAGTAATAGAAACATATGCCAGATAGATGCCAGGTGTCTGATGCAAAGCCAGTTGAAGTCAGTGGAAAGACACTCAATGAGTTCTTGGGGCTTGGATCAGAGCCCAGAGAAAGAATTATTACCAGAGGTTCATTCTGCGTGCTGATATTGAGCTGTTTGCAAGTGAGGGACCCTTGAAAAGAAGCTGACTCTTCATAGGTGTAACACCCTGTGAAACCTAAGTTCTCCAAAAGTGCCCCAGATATGCTTGTTGGATAGGGCTGACATCTAGCAAAGAAAAATTACTTGCCTGTGACAGAAAACAAGAGGCAGCTACATATGCAAAAGTCTGTGAAGAGTGCAGGTAAGAGAAAAAGATGCCAAACTCTGTATCTGCAGATCTTTTCCATGTCCTCTTGCAATTGCCACTGGCCAAGCTGCTGGTTGTTCACAGGGAAAAAGAAAAAAAACAGAGCAATTTCTGGCACAAGTCAATCCAAACTCAAGAATTAAGTTGTCTGTTCTGGTGTAGTATTTGGAGCAGCCCAGTCTTTTCTGCAGATACATAACTGAATTGGAGAACGACAGGCCGGAGCAAGGAACTGTGCCTGATTTTTTTACACAGGCAGGCATGGGAAACAACACAAGAAGCCTTCCATCCTGGTTCTCTCCACCTCCTTTGCAGGGCTGACAAAAGTCCCAGATACAACTGGATCTGCTTTCCCATATGCACATCTCACCTCAGAGCAATGTTTCTCTACCTGGATGCACCAGACCCTGTCAGGATTTGACCACTACTGTCACAGCCAGGTAAAACTGCCTGCTTAGTCTGTGACTTGAAATGTGTGCAGTTCCCTAAAAGGCGTCTATTTCAAAAAGATTTTAAAAAATCAATCTAAAAAAAAGTTTATGAGCACATACCAAAAATTAAGGTCTTTACACTAAAGGAACCAAATGCAGCCTGATATACCAAAGCAAGCACAAAGCTTTTACTCTAGGATCCACCAAGTCATGCTACTTAATAAAGTGCCTGTTCCACGAAGATATCAAGAATGAAACTTTGAGATATAAAACAAGCAATAGGCTTATCTATTGTGATTCCTACGTCATACACTGTCAGACACCCAGAAGCACCATCTTTTCCTTGAAGCTGAGATTTTTAAACCCCTCTCTCATTACCTTTAATACTTACACATGCAGCAAAAGCTAACCTTGCAAAAGCCAACCCCTCTCAGTTTCTGTAGTACTCTGCTGTAGTATCTTGCAAACTTCGCGTTTACGTAAGCTGAGTTGAACATGGGCAATATTCATACATTTTCAGAAGCTATCAGCACAGCATCCCCATTGTTTTTTGCATTGATTATACAATCAATTTACTTTAAGAAGCCTCTAAGTTTTTCAGGAGTTGATGTGTCATAGATTTCTGTATTGAAGTTATATAATTATTTTCTCAGAGGGAACTTTGGGCTCTGGAAGCTGGACTTGGATTTTGGCTTCAAGGACATTCTGTGGTATTGGTTAGTAATGATGACCAAGCACAATGAAAAACGGAGGGTTGGGTGCTGAACTGCACTTGCACCCTTTAAAATTTTCTTCAACATCAGGATGTTTTAATGGTGAACTAGCTGGGGAGGATGATATTTCAAATGGAGATAAACGGGTTTAGTTCACGGTTCTCTGAAGCTATTCTTTTAGGCTGCAGCTAATTCATGAAAACAGCACTGGAAGTTTACAAATTTTCACATCTAGAACTTTACCTTTGCAACCAAGAGGGCTGGAAATATAATTAAAAAAAAATCTAAGATGCTGTATTATTTAACAATTAACTTGCAGTAGTGTTGACAGGCCAACCAGGTTTGGACCCTGTTGGGTTGTGTTGTACCTCAAAAGTCTTGAGCAGTTTCTCTTGCAAGGGGTGGATGTCCTGCAAATTTTGTTGCCACAATACTGGAGAACAGTTATGCTGTTAGTACCAAAAATGGAAGCAAAACAGGAAAAAAAATCCGCAGAGCATTTCACCTCTATTCATGTTTTTAACTCGTGAGGAATGAACAATGTAAAACACCCAGAGCAGTTACAGTACTTAGGAACAAATGAGGAAGTACAAAGGTTACTACATAATCAATTTTTCCCCACGCTGTCTAGCATAGTATCCTATGAGCTTTAACAGCACATAAACTCAGATCACATTGAATTACAGCATCTGAAGATGAAACCACCTCTGTCTAAAAGCTAAGGAAAGATAGATGGTAGGTGAACGGAAGGAAAAGTCCACTGAGTGCTTTATCGACCTAGTTGCCATTCCATGAATGGGGTACAATAAAAATTTATTGAAAAATTAGAAAAAGTTGTTACTTATTCTAATCAACCCCCATGGGAATGTTAACACCACGGACAAAGCCAAAGACTCCCTAACACTGCGCATTTTAAAAATCTTGCAATTTTATTTGCATATAAAGGCTGCTAGATATTATATCACAATAAATTTAAAGAAACAACTGCTTTTCTAAATTCCATTAACAAGGTAACATAAAACAGAACAAAGCTCAATAGCATTTACAGTGGTAGAACAGAAATAACTATCTGCAACAATATTTTGTGCTAGCAAGATTGCATTTACACACAGTGCAAAATAAGAAAAAAAAAGAAAATTTGAAAGACAATTCAAGAATATTTAAATATAAAGGACAACTAAGCCTTATTTTAGTGAGGCTTGATTGTATCCATTTGATTCTATACATGCCTGAAACTGCACAAAGATTTAACTCAAGCTCTTGAAGGCCTTGAGCACTTGGAAAATGTGTCACATCCTTCATAATTTAGATGTGCTGTACAGTATAATTTTGCAGATGCTATACTGACAATATTAAATTCCTAGCTTAGTTATAATGCACAAAAAATACATATATATATAAATTCATATTTAAAAGGAGTCCGCATTTACATTTTTTTACTGCATGAAACACCTGCTCTTTGCAGCTTTCATTCCCATATTTTTAAAGCTAAAATAATTTAAAAAAACAAACAAAACAATAAAAAGGTAGATACTTACATACAGGCTGCAGCTATCTATTATCAGTCTTTAAGGTATAAAGTAGGCAGAGACAAACAAGTATGAAGTCTATTCTCCCCTTGTTGCACATTACTGTTAATAGGAGGGAGTTACAGTACATGCACACACACCAAGGGGCAAAATAGATCCCCTCATCTTGTTTACATTACTAAAAAAGGTGTGCTATAAATGGGAGGGCAGGAGAGAAGAAGCATATGTTTAGGACTAGAAAAAAATTACATTATAAAACAAATTCAAACAATAACATAAGTTGTGCAAATTTGGGTGTTTTTAAAATGCTGCCTTTTTAGCTTATAATATAATATTAAAATAAGGTCTCTTACTTATTAAAAGAAAGCTTGGCTGTCCTTTTGAGAACACTATTACAATTTACAATGGCAAGTTTACTAAAAAAACCCAAAACAACAAAAAAGGTCATTTTACAAATTCACAATGCTTGATCAATTTAAAATGGATGCTGCATTTCCAAAAAGCACAACCTCTATCTTTTTCTTTTTTTGTACCAGCAATTTACAAAAAACCCCACATAATTTGGAAATAAACATGTAAGAGAATGTAAGTTTTATAATTAGAAAATGGCAGTTAATAGACCTTCCCCAGTTCCAGCTGTGCAGTAGTGCTTCATGATCCTTGAGGGGTTGGAAGGTCAAATATAATTGGAGGATTGGTTGGTTGAAAGCTGACTGTACATGTTGAAGCATTGATATACGTTGTGTAACCGTCCGTCATAATGCCATAACCTGTAGGGAGAATGTGTCACACTTACTGTAACGTAAATAAGCGATACTGACCTAATGCAGTGCCCACAAGCAGAAGAAATAAAAGTTTCTTGTGAGGGCACTGCTTTGAAATCAAACCAAAATGTTTTGTTTTGCAAAATGTTAGAAACTTCAGAAAGCTACTAATTAAAGTTTCAATTGGAAAAAAAAATGCATTGTGTTGTATCTGAAGTAAGAGCAACTCTGTGGGTGGCTGGGTGGGGATGAACACAGCTTTCTGATCAGCTGTAGAGATGTTTTGTGCCTTGTACCAAAACTGTACAGGACACAACACATGTTCCTTCTTTCCTATAATTTTGCATACCTCTAACCAGACAGAAAAAGGACCAATCAGGAACAAGAAATTTGATACAAGCTCCAGTTTTTTTCAGGCACTTTGATGAACCCATTGTGCGCTCTCCAAGTTCAGACAAACCATGAAAGCACCCACTGTGCTTTCATGACAGCTAGCCAACCTTGCACTAGCTATCATGAAAGATCTTGGTTTGGAGGCTGCCAGCACTGGTGTTCCCACTGGCTTGCTAAGCCTCAGAAAACCAAACAGGAGGTAAGAAAATGTGTTTTCTATAGGTTGGCTCACTAATGTAGACAATGGAGGTGACTAGTGGTTCTAACCCAAAGACACAGGAAATGAAAACCTAGCTGGATGGGCTGAAGTGACTTAAGAAAGGGACCTAGGGACTTGCAGCAATGGATAATTTCATACTGTTGATAGGACATTGGCTTCAAATCCTCCCATGGAAAAAAATAAAACAATCCCTAAAGCTGATGTTGAACACTTGCTTGGAAAATTGTGAACATTACCACTACCCATAGAAAGGAATCTAAATGACAGTGTAATAATGTAGGTGTACCTGGTGCTCCAGGTGGCTGCTCTGCAGAGCTGTCCCCAGGGACTGGCCTCTTCCCTCTTGACTCAAGAGGAGGTTCAAGTTCAAGTTATCATAGAATAGACTTAAGTTGGATCAGGCACAGATGGGACAGATCTAGGAATGGATTCAGGCACGGGAGGGCTGTCAACGAGCCTTTACACAGAGGGTCCTTGAAAAGGCATGCAGAGGGAAAGAGCTCTTCTGGATCCATAGATATTGCAACCTGTGGATGCCTAATGATGCACAGGATTCTCCTCTCCTCCCTCTCATCTTTAGGATTAAGGCAGAAAATTGGAATGGAATTTAAGGTAAAGAGGGGAGACAGCTTTGCTAAAGGACCTAAAAACATCCCTACCTGCAAAGGAGGGGAAAAGGGACTTCGCTAAAGGTTTGAGGTAGGCCATGACCTTTAGGGCTGCATCTAGACGAGTGCGGACATTTGTTTCCCCAGGGACAAGCAGCAGCGGCACATATTGTGCCACTGTTACTTGTCCTTGGGCAATGCCCATGTTATCACATGCACTCTGGCATGCAGCAGGTTACCCTGGGTCGGGTAGGGGAGGCTGCAGCCAGAAGTGTGCTCGCCATAGCAGCTTAACCTGTGGTCCTGGGGCCTGGCCAGGCTCTGGTTTTGGGTGCTGTACACTGCCCCCTCATGTGCCACCCTGCTTTTTTTCCAGATCTCCCAGGGTCAAAAAAACACCTCCATGCTGCAAGGTAGCAGCACAGGGAGTGCCAGCATGTGTGGTTTGTGATGCCACAGACAGGTCTGCAGTGCCACATATTGCACACCCATGCTCATCTGGACACAGCCTAGGAGTTTAACTCTAAGTTTTCTGTTTTGCTCCATGCAAGGGATCCAGGTATCTGGCATAAGGAGCTGGCTGGTAATTCCCTTATATAGGGATGTTGTAAAGTCAGTGTAAGTCAGCTCTAAGCCATCCATTCTTGGCTGGCCTGGTGTAAGCCATGATGAGATGTGGTTAGAGTGCCTTGTGCTCCTGTAATTCTGGAGAGGATGGAATAAATTCCAAGAACACATTTGAGAAAGGAGAGAATGCATTTTAAAGGGCCTCCTCCAACCTCCTTTTCTCAGGTGTCCTGGGATAATTCCTCAGATCTACCTCAAGTAGGGGATTAAATAACATGAAGGTCTCCTATTGGTAGATGTGAGAGAAGACTATTTGCTTGGTCCTTGCTTGGCTGGACTTTCTGGTAGGTTGCTGCTGTGATAAAGGATTGCATGGTGCACTCAGGGCCCCTTCACCACTTACTTCTGTGCCTTTCCTGTCTGTTGTGGTACTGTGCCTGTGGTCCAAAGACAATGCCCCAGGAACAGACATTTGATGCTTTTCTTACTGAGAGGCAAGGAAAAATGAAGGAGAGGGATGCCACCAGTTTCTTGTTCCTGATTAGACCTTCATATATGAGAGGGAACTTTCATTGTTTGTTCTGGTAAGGTATGCTACTGATAAATAATTTAGTTTTTACAGTATGGAGCATTGCTGCATAACATTTAAGGCAAGATGTGCACTATCAAAGTGTCTATCAGAATAATTACTACAACACTACTGTGTGGTCTGTCTATATCATTTTATTTGTTTATTTAAATTATTTACATGTATTTAAGTTTTGATTTAGATCAGTGGGAAGAAATAGAGGTTAAAAATAATCAATTGACTTGGAGCAAATATGTGATCCAAATAATCTGTGCTGAATCTCTTCTGTTTTGAATGGAAAATGGGTGCATGTATTTGAGAGCAGAATTTGGTTCTGATGAATTAATTGTACCGTACGTCAACTTTTAGCCTCAGTACAATGTAGATCTTCACTTTAGTCAGATAAGCAGGGTTTGGAACTTTGGAATAAAACTCCCCCCTTTTTTATGGTGTGTGGGTCACCATCCCTACTTATGAGGTTTAAATGCAAGATGTTGTACATGAAGCCACAATGTTTTCTCAGACTGATCTTGCACACCAAGAGACCTTTCCTTTCCATCAGCTGAAAGCTATTACTGCTGGAAGTTTGATTACTTTTAGCTTACAATGCACCTACATAGTATAAAGGCAATTTGCATGTTCTGGCTGGAAGTCTTCTTGTATTCACTCATCATTAATATCTGAGCATTAATATTTATACAAAATGTCCAATCTTTTACTGAATGCATTAGAGTGCTGCTATTCATGCCACTATAGTTAAGGTTGCATCAGTATTTCCATTATAAACTCCTTATTTACAGTTCTTTATAACCAGAAATAAAAATTCACTGCATAAAGTCATGAAGGCTTTGGAAAAATCAACAATGCCAAGCAAAAAAGCTCTTTTTCTTCTACAAAGTTCTCCAACTCCGTATGCATACAGAGCTTAATTAGAGTCAACAGACAAAACTCCAGGGGGGGAAATAAAAGCATTTAATGTGTAATTTTTAGTTCTAGGGTCAGAGAGTCTCGTGATCTCTTCTTAGGCAGGATTCCTAGTCTTCCCCTCACTGGAACATGAAAGCCGCAAACACAAATAAATTAAATATTGAAACCTTCCAAAATGTATTTAACAATCTTTCATTCCCTTCCACCTCCACTAAGGGTGCTTGTTGTTTCTGAAGTTTCCCACTTGGCCTGCTTGATATGAGAATCAAAATGGAGAAAGAGATCTTCCAAAACAGGGGTGGCCAACCTGCAGCATACATGGCACAAGTGGCATAGGCAGCCTCTGTGTGTGGCACATAAGGGAGGGAACAGATAGCACAGTGGTGTATAGGACAGGAAGCAGAAAGCAGAGCAACAGATTAGGCAGAGGGATGGGATCAGAGTGGCACTCAGGGATGGCACAAGGCTTAATTTGTGGCATGCCTGCCAAAACGGTTGGCCCCCACTGTTCCAAAGTAAGTTTTGTTGAGGCTAAAGGAAACCGCACAACATGAAGGGCATTCTAGAATGGCTTCTGAAATGTACTTGAACAAATCATGGTGCTTTCTGCTCTCCCTGCCCCACTCCCTTCATGATGAAGGGCTCCTTTTTCTCTTCTTCCTCACTGCAGCAAGCATTCTCCAGACTGCCCTCTCTTTTCTAGCCTCCTTTGATGGCTCCTCTACTTGGATTAATTGAGACTTTCCAGTGTTACGACAGGATAGTTCTCACTTGGCTCTGAATCCCTCGCATGTGGAGGGAACCTCAGATGCTTTCAAATCTGTCACAGTTGGAACTGCTAACAAATAACTTCATACAGTGCAGATTTCGTAAAGCAACAGCTGTGGGTATGTTGGAATCATGTGAGTGCCTAAGATTTTAAAATATAAGTATCTAAATGGCTCCTAAATCTTTGTTTTAGCATCCAAAGCCTGAGTTTTCAGTGTTGGGCATTCAGCATTTTCCATTTTATTATAGCAACTTATAATGAATCAAAAATCCACAGCTGGCCTGAAATGCCACAGAGATCTGTGTCACTCCCTTCACACTGCATGCCGGGGAGCCTTACTTTTGCTTACCTTCATGAATTCCACCAAAGACATGGAGCTTGGGCCGTACTCGCCGCTGCACTGTGTTTAACAGTTCCACACAGCCAACTCTCTGCAGTTCCTTTGGAACCCAGTCTCGAAAACCTGAAGGCAAAATGCAATCAATACACTTAATTTTCTCTATTCAGGTAAGGTTTCATTTAGTCTTTCAGGAAGCCATAATTTACTGAAGGTTTATTACATTACCTGTAATCCTAACCTCTCCATTAAAGCATACAATGGCTTTTAAGAAACTTTTCACTGTCACTTTGTCTTCCTTAGGTTCCTGAGATTCCACCCCCCACTTTCCTCTTCCCTGCTCCCTCCCTGAAATAATGTTTCTCTTTATGTGAGCCCATCTATTAAACTACAAGTTGACCCTCTTCTTCATGAGCTGAGGTCCTGTGACATTTGTTCCTAGCAGTGTCACAGTTTTCCCCTTCCATTTCTCTTATTTCCACTCTTCTGCTGCTGGCTGCTGTTGCAGCAGTCAACCTAAGGTACCAGTTAATGCTAGAGAGAGCACACTGCAAGGATCATGTGTCTTATTTCTGGTATCACTGCCACCTTAGGGCTCCTATACACATGTGTGGAACCTGGAAATCCAGCGCGTCGGACCAGACTTGACTGAGTCTGCTGGAGCACAGAAACTGACACACTCTGGCATCTTTCCGCAGCACATCTATCAACTTCCCTGCACACCTCCACACTGAAAAAATGATGGCAGTGCACCTTGAAATAAAACACGTTCCATAAGCCTTAGTTCAAAGCACCCTGCCACCATTTTTTCAGTGCAGGGATGATGATACACATGACACAAGGGAACTTTTAATTAGCGTGGCTTGCTAATTAAAGTCCAGTACCACATCCCACAATCTGTGTAAAAAAGCCTCTAGAGCTTTAAATTACATCTTTTGCCACAACTTTTACAGGAGCAGGGTCTGTTAGTATTGGGTTACTACTGAGCCCAGTCACTGACAGTAGGCTACACAGAGCGATGGTGAAACAGCTCCCAGTAAGCTGGTGCTAATTGACTACTTCTAAAGTAAAAGCCACTTAGTTCAATAGATAATACGGAAAATCCATAAAACTTAACATCAATTATTACAAAAGTCTGCTGTCTGGACTAATACAGCATGGACATGCATTCATAAGGGGTGGGAAGAACTGTGGGGAATAAAAGATAAATTATGTCTGAAAGAAGGAAGCATATTTGCCCTTGGTATTACTCTTCTGACTTCAAAGTAGTTACAACAGGGATGAATTTGGCACAGGCTAATTAAATGTGGTGGAACATAAATTTAACTATCTTTGAAGACTACTTGTAGACCAACAGCTGATGCACATGATATCACAACTCTACAAACATGACTTTTGGGTATGTCTGTACTTCCGGTACCAGCAGTACTTTGGGTATGTGGAGATTTCAGTCTCAACGGGCACACCTACATGTGCATATTAATGTGACGTAAACTCTGATGCTTATTGTGAAGAGTACATTTGCATGTACGCATGGGATCACAGGACGTTAAGCCAAGTCAGAGCAGCCCTGGCTGGCAGGGGGCCCAGGGGTCACCTTGCCAACCTGAGGCTGCTCCAACCCAGCTCAATGTGCTGTGGAGGGGCTGGCTGGGACACACAAGGCGCTCTGGTTGGGGCTAGCCAGCAAGCAGCTCCCACACAGAAGCACTCTCGTGTCCCAGCCAGTCAGGGCAGCATCTACATGTACACTGCTTCAGAGTAAAAAACTCCGCAGCAGGGTAGTACTTGTATTTGCAAAGCGTATTAGTTTACTCCAGCCTAATAGCCCTGCACATGTAGACACCGAGACATTTACTGCAGAGCTAATTAGCCTACTCCTCAGAAAACATCTCGTGTAGACATGCCCATTATCTCCATTTGCAGGCACTATAGTAAGAACTCGAATCTCTGACTCCCTGATCTGTGCTGGCGCTTTAAACGTGGGAGCATGCTGCACTTACAAGATGACAGCAATGCATCTGAAACTTAGTCCACTACCTCTTAAAAAATAAAAATGTAAGTATTGTTGCAAAGAATTCAATTTAAAAAAGACTGTGATGTTTCTGAGACCAATGTACACTATGTGAACCCAATATACAGCAAACAGATTGGCAACCCACTGAAATCTAATAGCCACAAAAAGTTATAAACATGCTCATACTTTTATGCTTCTTGCGGCAAATAAAAAACAGATTACATGTAAAAGAATATTCATTCTGATTAAGATGCTGCTTTTCAAAGCACAGTTCATTCCACTAGAGTAGGTGTTACATCACTGATCTGCTGAAGACAGAAGCTGGCTCTGGTGGACGTAAAGGTAACCTGCACATCTTTTTATAGTATTCCCCTGATAGTGGTATGTGCTGAACGCCACTTATAACTAGGCTCAGGTAAGCACTGTGCATATTATTGGCTCTGTTGCTGCAATTCAGTCCAACCAGGCTAGATGCTGTGGCACCTATGGGTCTCTTCACCTAGCTCTGATGCCTTAGCACAATGGGGACCAACCTTTTTCGCAGGTGTGCCACTATCTCCAAATTGCACTATGATCCCCTTCCTCCACCCAATCTGCTGCTCTGCCTTCTGGTACCTACTCTCTGCTCCCGGCCAGATCTCCTCTGCTTTTTGCTTCCTGCTTTGTGCTCCCTGTCTGAGCTTCTGCTCTACTTTCTGCTTCCTGCTCTATCTGCTGCTTAATTGCCTGTCCCTTCTGTGATCTACCATGTGGCTTATACACAAGCTGTCTGTGCCACTTGTGACATTTATGCTACAGGCTGGCAGCATCTACCCTAACACATATTGAAGTCCTGACATCACAGCTATCTTGAAACTGCTGGAATGCTGAGTTGCCTTGATGCATTTAAATGCCTTTTCTCAGTACTTCATGCAGTTTGAAAATAGTTCTTTACATGTATTGGCTCAGATTCTCATCTGGTGTAAAACTTCCTAGTTCTACTCTAGTCAATATACCATTCAAATTAATGAAAGTATTTTGATTTACATAAGCATAGGGTCTGGCCCTTGGAATTCAAAAAGAATACTAGAAACTTGGCAGAACTACACAATCTGTTAAAACTAAAAAGTACTTACATGAACTTTCTCACCTCAGTAAGCCAACATTATAGGAAGCAGATCCTCCATTTATATTATAAATTGTTACTTAAGTAAATTGAATCCCCTGGAGTCAACAGAGCTGTTACAATTTATGCCAATAAAGCTCTAGACTTTATGGGCGCGTCCATACAAGCAAGCATGTGGCTTGCAACAACTCAAATAGAAGTGGTGCAAATTTGAGCAAGGGCTTTTTGCCTCAGTGTATGTGCTCAGACATGCACTTTGTTGTGGAACAAAGTGTGCCACTTGGGCCAAATAACCCTGCCTGGCTCCTCCCGGATCTGCAGCCAGGGGGAGCCAGAGCCTGGGGCCAGCACCTGTGCTGCCCCAGCAGTATAAAAAGCTGCCCTGTCCTGCCCCATCAGTACAAAACGCTGCCCTGTCAAGTAGCTCAGGGCTACTCACTCTCAGGAGCTTCTGGGGCCCAGCCAGTTGGTACCTGGGGACGCTACCCTTTGTGCCAGCTGGACTGCTGAAGCAGCCCTAAGAGTCCCCTGCACCTTCTACCCACTGCAGCAGTCTGGAAGTGGGGTGAGGGCTGCTGCCTGGCTGTGACCTGCTGTGCACCTGCCAGACCCAGATGAGGCATCTGCCCCTCTGGGCAAGCTGCCAGTGGGCTGTGGCTGCAGAGTTGCCCTCTGTGCAGCACTACTGCCATGTGTGCCCCCTGCCCGGCCATCTGGGCAGCTATTGCCCAGAAGATGTTCCAGGTGTGGTGGCCTGCTTTGAACTGTCAAAACATGTCTTCCTGGCCCCATTT